CAGAGGAACTGAGAGCTCATTTGTGGGAGATGATCGAGAAGCAGAAGAAGGCACTTGAAGCGGGTCTAGAAATGTCCTAGGGGCGGGTCACTTCTTTAACTAAAGAGATGAAGCGACAAGAGTGGGAAATCAAGAGGAAAGTCGTTGACTGGTCGATTCAATCCATTTATGCCCTTTGGCCAAAGAACCCGACCATGGACCTCACCAACCTTTCGGATGATTACCAGAGGATCCTTGCCTCCATAGCGAGAGCTGATGATAAGGAGGAAGGTCTAGGGCTTATTCGGAAGAGGATCAGCCAGAGAAGTATGTTTCGGAGGACCTAGCAGCTGACCAAGAGGTCGGCGACCAACTTGGAGAGGCCGAGGTCGCACTCGAAGGGCCTGGGAACGAAAACAAGTGATCGCTTCTGCTTTTACTTTTCCCACAACCTTGCTTTTGATGTCCTCACACATTCCTGCCTATGTACTTAGAATTTTATTAATGAAAAGATTATTCTTAAACTGTTTGCGGTAGCACTTATAATTTTCGTACTCCACAAACATTACATATGTGAACAAAAAGACGTTCTCTCGCTATTTGTGATAGCACTTATAAATTTTCGTACTTCACAGATATTACATATGCAAACAGAAAGATAAAAATAATGCGAGGAACAAGATCATACATTTACACAAGATGAATTTGGCTTAATTACAAAACTTACAAGGGAATTTTTACAAGTTAAAAGAGCGAGTTCGGAATTACTGATAATAGGAGAGAAGATGCTCAGCATTCCAAGCTTGTGGTATTTTGGAACCGTTGAGCCTTTTGAGGTGATAAGTCCCTGGTAGTATTACCTTGGCGATGCGGTAAGGGCCTTTCCAGTTTGGTCCCAATACTCCCGCGCTTGGTTCCCTTATACAGAGAAGAATTTCTTTCAAAACTAGGTCACCGACCTGAAAGTCTCTTCTCCTGACTTTAGAGTCAAAGAAACTTTTTGCATGCTGCTGGTAGGCTGTTATGCTTAACCAAGCTTTGCCGCAGTGTTCTTCAACTAAGTCCAGACTTGCACGCAAAAGTGCTTCATTGTCTGTTTCATTGAACAGGTCTCTTCGAAGTGACCCAGTCCCCACTTCCATTGGGATCATAGCCTCCCAGCCATATGCTAGCGAGAAAGGTATTTCTAAAGTAGAGGTTCTCGGAGTTGTCTTGTATGCCCATAAGACTTTTGGGAGTTCGTCGACCTAATTACCCTTGGCAGCGCCAAGCTTAGCTTTCAAAGTATGCTTGATGGTCTTGTTGACAGCTTCAACCTGGCCATTTGCTTGTGGTCTTGCAACTGAGGCGAACTTTTTATGGATCCCAAGCTCATCGCAAAACTGCTTGAATTCTTTGCTATCGAACTGCTTCCCATTATCAGAGATGAGTGTATGAGGAATTCCATAGCGGCACACTATATTTTTGAAGACGAAGTCCTTAAGCTTCTTGGTAATGATTGCGGCCAAGGGTTCAGCTTCGACCCACTTGGTGAAATAATCCACTGTGACCACAGCATACTTGACTCTTCCCTTCCCAGCTAGCATGGGTCCAATAAGATCAACTCTCCACATGGAGAATGGCTAGGAGCTAGTCATTGTTATTAGCTGGTAGGAAGGAGCTCGCAGTATGTTCACGAATCGTTGGCACCTGCCACACTTTTTTACAAAGTTGAATGTATCCTCTTGAATTAGGAGCCAGTAGTACCTTTGACGAACAACTTTGTTAGCGAGGGATCGCACGACAATGTGATTACCAAAGATCCCTTCATGTATCTTATTCATGATATAGTCTGCTTCCTCATTGGTTACACATCGAAGGAAAGGGGTGCTAAACCTCGCTTATACAATTGATCTCCTATAAGTGTATAACGAGCAGCTCTGGTTCGCAGGGTTCTTGCCTCAATCTTATCATTGGGCAAGGTCCCATCTCGGAGATACTAAATAACTAGGGTCATCCAAGAAACTGATTATGTCGTAACCATGGCCTGTTTTGGTGAGCTGATACTAGGGATCTCTATGTACCGAATAGGAATACTTTCTGGAGCATCTGAGTCTAACGACGAGGCTATTCTTGCCAAGTCATCTGCGACAGAATTACTATCTCTAGGAATTTGCATGATCGCGAAGTACTTGAAAGACTCGATTGCGGCCTTAGCTTTCTTCAGATAACTGATCATGTTTTCTTCCTTGGCTTGATACTCTCCTAAAATCTGATTAACAATCAACATGGAGTCGCTGTGAATACTGATAACGATTGACCCCATTTCTTTTGCCAACCACAGACCAGCTAGTAGTGCTTCATACTCGGCCTCGTTGTTGGTAGCTTTGAACCCAAACCGAAGAATACCGTGGATATGAGTCCCTTGGGGACTAAGGAGGAGAAGGCATGCCCCAGACCTTTTCCTGTTCAAGGAGTCATCGACATAGAGGCTCCAAATTGATAGATTATGAATAGTTTCCTAGGTGACTTCGCTGGACTGTTGCTCGGATTCCTAAATCGGTTGGTGTGAAAACTCCAAAATGAAATCGGCAACAACCTATCCTTTAATGGTTGCTTTCGGTCTGTACTACTAATCGAACTGACTTAGTTCCATCGCCTACTTGAGCAACTTACCCGAAGCCTTTGGCTTCTTAAGGACTTGCCTGAGCGGGTAGTTGGTTAATACATGGATAGTGTGGGCATGGAAATAAGGTCGCAACTTTCTGGAGGCGACCAATAGGGCATAAGCTAATCGCTCTATTTTTGGATACCACATTTTGGCATCCAATAGATGCCTACTCATGTAATATACCGGCCATTAGACTCTGTCTTTTTCCCGAATTAGAGTTGCACTGACCGCATGCTGAGAGATGGATAGATACAGGAGAAGAATTTCTTGAGGGAGAGGCTTGGACAGAAGAGGTGGCTTTTCAAGGTGCTCTTTAATGCTTTGAAAAGCCTGTTCACATTTTGGAGTCCATTCGAACTTTTTGTTGGCCCTGAATATATTGAAAAATGGCAAGCATTGATCTATTGCTCTTGATATGAAGCGACTAAGAGCAAATATTCACCCATTAAGACTTTGAAAGGAATTTTCCCGAGGATACCCTAAATGAACACTTGAGAGGATTGAGCTTCATTTTATATCTTCGGAGTATGTTGAACATCTCAGCGAGATGCGCTATGTGATCTTAAGCGACATGCGATTTGACCAGCATGTCATCAACATAGACTTCCATCGATCCTCTGATCTACTCGAAAAACATTCTGTTAACTAGCTGCTGGTAAGTCGCCCCAACAATTTTTAGGCCAAAGGGCATAACCTTATAGCAATACAGCCCTCGATCTATAACAGAGGAGGTATGTTCTTCGTCCGACACGTACATCAGAATCTGATTCTATCCCAAGTAGGCATCCATAAAACTTAATAGCTCGTGCCTAGAGGTGGCATCGACGAGCTGGTCAATTCTTGGCAAGAGAAAGTTGTCATTTGGACAGGCCTTATTGAGGTCGGTGAAGTCAACGCAGGTCCGTATTTACTGTTAGGCTTCTTTACTAAGACTGGGTTGGCAACCCACCTCGGGTAAAGTGCCTCCCGGATGGACCCGTTCAAGAGAAGGTTATTTACCTCAATTTTTAAGGCGGCATACCGCTCGGGGTCCATTGCTCTCCTCTTTTGGCGAATCGACCTAAGCGCACTATCAATATATATAACATTCGGGCTGATCCTGACCATGTCAGCATGAGTCTAGAATATGTTGATATTTTTCCTGAGTAAGCATGTCAGGTCGTTGGCGAGCTGAGAGTTGAGATTACTTCCGATTCTCAACACTCGGGTTGGCTCGCTTTGATAGATCGATACCTCGGATAAGTCCTCGACTGACCGACCTACTATGAGGGCATTCCTGGATGCGAGGATCCAAGTTATCCTCAACTGGGCCAGGTCGTGGCTCGATCCTGCTGATCGCCATTGCCTGCTCAGGGATGCCAACTGGTGTTCCCTTTCCCTTGCACGCCATCTGCACTACCCTTATGTAGCAGTCGCGAGATGCACATTGGGATCCACTTACTTCCCCTATCATCATCAGGGTGGGGAACTTCACCTTTAGATGGTAGATTGAAGTGACTGCCTTGAAGCATTGTAGTAGAGGTCGTCCTAAAATGCCATTGAAAGTGGACGGACAATCTACTACTAAAAACTCAGTCATCTTGGTCATCTCGTTGGTTTCCCCCAACGTGATCTGGAGCGAGATCATCCCTTGGGAATCAAATGATCCCGGTGAAACTGTACAGAGGGATAGAGGCAGGCTTCAGATCTGCCTCGTCCAGTTTCATCTTCTGAAGGCTCGGTGAAATAAGATATTCATGGCGCTTCCATTGTCCACCAGTATCCTGTGGACTTCGCACCGACCTATTTCAGGCATGATGATGAGAGCATTGTCATGGGGATGAAGCAATCGCACCGTGTATTTCTCGGAGAAGGTGATTTCCTCCTCTCTGGGAACCTTAGCGGGTCGCGGCGTCATGCTTATAACACTTGTGGGGTCATGACGGGCTTCCCGAGCATATCTTTCTTGGGCACCTCGAGAGTTCCCTGCAAGGTGTGGTCCTCCAAAAATGATCCCCACATAGTAGAGACCTTTGCGATCGCGACGCCTCTTCCCTGGTTCCTCTTGATTTTTCTCCCGAACGGGAGCTGAGTCATCAACATACTCTATGAAGTGCCCCTGTTTAATAAGGTTCTTAATTGCCTGCTTGAGGGCCCGACACTCATTGGTGTGATGCCCATTATCCTGATGATAGCAATAGTATTTTTTATTGTTTCTGGCTGACGGGGGGTTTTTCATGGGCCTAGGCTCTCCGAGCGAACTGGCCTCCTCTGATTTATCCATAATAGCCGATACCGAGGCAATCAGAGCTGTGTATTGACTCTTGTCGTGATCGCGACGAGGAATTGAGGCATAAGATTTCTTAGGCTCGTACCGCTGCTTCTTTCCTTTTCACTGATCATTGTTAGCCCATCTGCGATTAGCCCTTTTATTCTCCCTCGAGTTGGGAGCACTGCCCGAAAGACTAGGGTTGTGGCGACTAAGAGCTGCCATGGAACTTTCAATCCGAAGGTACTTTTTAGTAAGGTTATAGAAGCGAGTGAGGGAAACATCATCCTCAGATTGCAATTCCTTCCACAAGTCTGTCTGCGGGTGAACTCCCACAATGATGAGAGTCTGAACAAACTCTTCGGGAGTATGGGCCACTTTGTGGAGCTCCCTGTGAAACTTGTCTATATAAGATTGGAGGGGTTCAGCCCTATCCTGCAGTATATTGCTCAAGTAGCTTAGCGGCATTGAGAACTTCCTGTTCGCTTGGAAGTGCCTCAGAAATGTCGAGCTGATTTGAGGCCATGAGCCGACCGATCCTGCTGGAAGTGACCTGAACCAGCGCTTGGCATGGGCAGTAAGGGTTACTGCCAAGTAACGACATTTTGCCAAGTCAAAGACTTGGTGGAGTTCCATGAGGTCATTGAACTCTTATAAATGATCCTGCGGATCAAAATTCCCATCGAATGCTCACATGTCGGGCATTCTGAATCTCGATAGGAGAGGGGCAGCTAACACTGTCGGAGAAAAGGGAGACGTCTCTACAACCTACCCTTGCTCATTCTACTGAGCCTTAAGCTGATCCAGAGCTCACTGTAGTTCCTTAATCTGAGGCAGTGGAGCTATCTGGGGATCACTTTCCGCAACGTACATTCGACCCTCATAGTTGCGGTTGAGGAAAGACCGCAAATCAGACTCTTCCTCACCTCGACGGGAAGCTTCGGCCAATCTCGACACACGCTAGCTGGAGCCGTGCGATGGCATTGAGCAATTCGAGGAGTCTTCCCAACCTCCGCGGTGGTGCGAACCGACCTGCAGACGATGGGAATCCCCTTCACGATGACAACCTAAGTCGTCATTCTGTCGATGTTGGGAATCTCCTCGCCTTGCACTTTTATGGGAGTGCCCGTGCGATGTGGCGCGGGATGGCTCATGTTGCGACATATCGTTGAGTCGTAATGCCACGGCTATTCTACTCGGGGCACAATCGGTGTTCGCTAGTCCCTTGCAGCTCTTAGGTCCATTGTGCGCCACTTGTTTTTCCTTTCTCTGACGCGCTGCAGTGCGCGCGGTATGGGCTTTCACCCTTTTTCACACTTTCATGTGACCTGCAGGCGTTTTTGGCGGTGGCACCGCCTCATTGGATTCGGGTGGCCGACCCAATCCAATTGGTCTAACCTTTGGCTAACCGTTTAAAGAGTATTATTAAACCTTTCCAGGTAACTCATGATGGTTGGGTCGAGCCGCGAGCTTGAAGGAATATCCCTCATGATATTCTGCTGGACTGGCGGCATTTCGGGAGAAGTGTGCTCCTGTATCTGGGGGATTTCTTCTTTACCATAATTGGTTCGCTCAGATTCAAAACCGAGAGCCATTTGCTTTATGGGACCGATTAGTTTAGAGATTTTTCTGATGAAGAGTAGGTACTAAATTAGGGCCCTCCGTCTAGCACCAAACTGTGGATGCTTGATTTTGACAGCAACTACTCGCACGTGTAAAATTCTAAAAAGAATTAGAAGTCACACGTGATATTAGGAGATTGAATTAAATAAAAAGGTGAAGAGCAATATTTAAAGTGGTTCGGATGCTTAGAAGCGAATCTTATGTCCACTGCTATTGTATTAATAAGAGAGAGAGGTCAGGACGCGTTCAACGAGCTAAGTTACAGTTTAGAGAGAGACAGAGAGAGAGAGAGCTATTTCAGCGTAAAATTAGCTAATCCCCCACAAATGAGAGGGAAGTCCTCTATTTATAGTGAGAGAGTTAAAGGTAATGATTATAAAAGCTGCAAGTAGGTAGGTGCCGTGCAAACCCTTTCCTTGCGTCCCATTGGTCACCTGCCCGAGGGATTTCCTTGACTAAAGCAGGGTTTTGACACGTGGGCGATCTCCAGCCGCTTGCTAGCCTGGCACTCACCTGCTGCGCTGACAGGAGCCATACCACTTGTGGTAGGCACGACGTGGCCGTACCTAGATGGCACAGAACCCTTCTGAGCTCTGACCATCCTTTATTGACGAGGCTCCACGTGAGCCCTACTTTTTCAGGCATAACAAGTATAGCCATTGATACAATCCCTCGGTGCTTGAAAAGTCTGTCACGATAAAAAGGCTTTTGTTATTGTTTCAGTTGTATTAGAAACTTTAAGCAATATGAAATGTTATAATTTTCTGTCTTCAAATATGGAGCTGGCATAGTATCCAATCGCATTTGTAACTCCTAATTGTTGCAAGGCCATCAGTCCAACTCCAACCTGAACATTCAAATATTACGTATAAAAAGATAAGAGGAAAAACTCCACATATACAAGGCAAGGGGCTTATGTACATGTAGAAAAATACTAAAGACATACCATGAGTGAATAAGCATATCTTAGTTGGAATAGGTAAAAAATTCCAACTTCTGATTTCCTGTTAAAGTATAATCCTGTACAGGAGAATGATCCTCATTTCTTGTTCTAAAATCTTCCAAAATGTATTTCCCTGCCATTGAAGTTGAAGTAATGTAAACAAGTTGGAATAAAAATTACTTTGATACCAGCTCATTCCTGGGAAGTATCAGCATTCTATCCCCTAAAAAGCTGTAGAGTAGTTTCTAACTCCTCTTCTCGACCGATCTTTGCCTGTAGAAAATTTTAGATTTTCATTGAATTGTTTTTAACATTTTCAGTAAGTAAAAAGATGATATAACTCCACATATTTTTCAAAATATATCTACATTGCCTGAAAAGAAAATCACAATTGGATTTACCAGCCATCTAGGAGACTCTGGTATGAACAATAAACCAACAACTTGCAATCGACATGCAACAGAACCTGAATTGAAATGAAACAGAGATATTAACACATTCTTATACATAAAGTTTTAAGAGGATTAAATGCAATAAAGATTAGAATGGCAAGAAATTACCAATTAGAGCTAATGTGAGCCAAGAAACAACAGTTCCAAGGAAATACATTAGTGAAAAGCCACAAGTCACCATGAACTGCATCGTTGACAAAGTATATGGTTGTAAATAGTTAGTTATATCAATAATAGAATCTATATTTATTTTGAATATACCGTATTTGTCGTTGTAAATCCTCCCCGAATATTCTTGTGTGTGATTTCTGCAATGTATATGGGTACCCACCATCCTTGATAAGAAAATATTCAAAACAATTACCAAATAATTTCAATCTATATTTAAAAGTGATGAAACTGTTGTCATACCCACCAATGTAAATGAGCAATCAGAAATATTTGAAACAATTACCACATAATTAATAATTCCAACTCCAGTCCCTGTTAAAGGTCTTCCCAGATCCAGCAACCAAGCATTCTTTAGATCACACCCCATCAAAAGAGAAGGAAAAGAAAGAAAACCTTTGAGAATGCTATTGCAAGCCAACCAACGATAAAGAGTAATTCGGATAACCACATTGTCTGCTTTATATGAAGTTGACCAATCAACAATAAGAGAGGTGAAAAAGCTTTCAGATTTGAACATAGAGGTTAAAGTGTAATAAAATAACTTACTCCTCTTTGACCGATGAGGTCTGCCAGCTTCCCATATTAATTAATGAGCCTCTTAGCTCCAACTGTTAGCATGGAACCAAAAACTGAATACTATATGCCAAAATTGAAGAGATATGTTATGATCATGTTATATATGGACCAAAATGTGGCATTATGCGTGAGAAGAGAAGTGATTAGTGAAAGAAATGATAACTAACACTATTCATCCTAATCATTCAGTCAGAGGAAAGAGATGATCGTATGCTATAAACTTTTTTCTTTAATTTTATTAGTGAATAAATACACTTACTGCCGCGACAGAGAAGCCCAGGTCTTCCCTGATGCCAGATTCAGCAGGTGATGAATATCCTGACTGTATGGCCATAATTAACATTCAACCATTAGCTCAGTCAAAGACAAGCCAATCTTGTGAATACTGGCCCATAGAATGTGTAGCAACCATTTTTAGTAGTTATGGTCTATACATTTCAAGCATATAGAGCATGTATTCCTAAGGAAAATGATGGAATTGAATTAAGTGGACTTCAGGTTCAAGCATATAAGCACAATTAAATCATGCCAGTAAAATGCAAAATCTCATTTATCGAAATTTCCTTTTTCCTCAAAATCCAAAATCTAGTAATTTAATTAAAAATTCAAAACTTGACAACCCAAAAACTCATTCAATAATTTAATTAAAAATTCAAAACTGACAACCCAAAAACTCATTCTTCAACAGAGAGACAGAAAAAAAAAAAAAAAAAAAAAAAAAAAAAAAAAGCCAAATCAAGAACTGAACTGATGCCTTAATTTGATAGACAAATTTAAATAATATAATATAAAATAATTTAGAGGAGACAAATTTAAATAATATAATATAAAAATAGAGGAAAAATAACTTGAGATCAAACTAAAAACTTTAATACAAATACTAGATAGTCGAAACAAAAAACCAAACTAATAAAGAAAAAAAATTGAACGGGATCACCAGACCCAATCATCAATATATGGGTCTATCCCTGCGATATGCTCAATTTTTTGTTTTTTTTTTTGTTTTTGTTCGGACTTCATGTGAGATTTGAATATAATGTCATTGTCCAATAACCTAAGGTGGGGTTTGTGCGCTAATTGTCTGAGATAAAATATATTTTTAATTCTAAAAAATGACGATGGGATTTAGAGAGGGTTTAAGTGGAACATAGCATGGTTATAGTATCTACAATACGCTATACGTATCCTATGATACGATTCGATATGGGTCGCCAATGATACGTATCAGAGAGTATATCTTAAACCTTTCGATATATTTATATATATTCAACGATACGATACGTATCAGTTCGTATCCTTAAAAATACCGATACAAATCAACGACTTTATTAATTTGGGCCGAAAGCTTAAAAATTTTTCAAGCTAGATTCGGGTCACCAACTGATTCACTAAAACGCACCCTAAATTACCCATTTTGCATGGAGAAAGTGGAAGAGGAAGATGTGTTGCCCATTTTACATGATAATAATAATACAAGTGGAGATATAGATATTAACATTGATCTTGGAAATGATATGAATGGTTGAGAGGAAATGATATAGATTCTAATTTTGTGATTAATTTGATTATGTAAAACTATAATTTAAAGCCAATAAGATCAAAAAAATCGTTAATTAATCTTGGGATGATATTAATTTTAAATTTTTTTTTTTTTTTTTTTTTTTTTTTAAAGGTGTATCCTATGATACGATACGATACACGATTCGAAAAATTAGGTTTTCGATACATGATACGATACACGATTTGACAACCATGAAACATAGTAGCAACACTCTTATCAGTGGCCCATTGGCAAGACCTGGCCCAAAACATAAGGTTGGACCTCTTCCTGGCCCTTCGAAATTTGTTATTAGGAGACCTGGAATTCTTTT